TTTTTGGTTACTACATGATTCCATATATGTTATTTCATAGTTTTGATGTCTTCACTATTATTCTACAATGTAGAAAATAGTAAAAATAGAGAAAAACCCTGGAATGAGTAGGTGTGTCCAAACTTTTGACTGGTACTGTATATATTTTCTGTGCAAAACGTCCAAATGACATCAGTTTGACGTTGTAAGGAAATAAAAAGCTGTGAAAACGACCCAACATGTTTCTGATAAAATTTTAGTTTGTCTTAGATGCATATTTTATGTGGTTGAAATACTATCAGATTTAGCTTTTATGATGCTGATAAAGATAGCAGCACCTCTACAGACGGTATCGAACTTCACATTCGTATTCTCTCAAGATGCTGAAATAAATAAATCATTTTTCCCCACTCCTGTTCCCGAGTAAAAATGTTGACTACATTTGATGTATCATTTTACTGCAAGAAATGCTTAATTCAGCAGGAGTTAATATTAAAGCTATGTGAGATGGTTATAGACCTACAGTTTCTATTTAACCCATCTGAACAGTAGGCTACAGTTCCCTTGACGTGCCATAGGCCTATTTGAAGTCCCCATGGCCTCACAATCATCACACATAACATAGCTGGTACGGATATCATCCTCTTTTACCACTTCACCAAATATTTTCCAAACATTACTTTTCTGGCCCTCCCTTCTCTTTATTTTCAACTCTCCATTTCGCAGCTTTTCTCTTATTGAATTAAACTCTGACATTGTCCTTTTTGCCTCCGTGGATCGATGTTAACGTTTCTGTACATTCACAAATGCATTTAGCGATTGGCGTGTATGCTATTTGGCATAGAGTTAGGCCCTAAATCTTAGTCTTGCACACTAATGTCAGATAGCCTAAAATAATGAAAGAAAAACCTGTAGATATAAATTGCACAATAATTATACATTTCTGGATTTTTTAAAGGATTATATTTCTCTTTTCTCTTGATTTGGGTTAGCCTAATTTCTCACTGTGCCTGGTTACTCATAGGCGGGGAGTTGTTTTTGTCAAAGGCTTTATCAACTCAAACCACATCCACCCCCATAACTTGCAGGCCTGCTCCTCTGCAGGGACTCTGAACAGCACAGCCTGCACATACAAACTAAAAAGAGAGAGCTAGGACTCACCCAGGCTAATTACACATTTGCGGTAGACAGGAAAAATAAAGGAGCTTTGATGGAGGCGGCTGAGCGCTCCGCTCCCCCACGCGAGGTGTCACTCAGCTCTCCAAATCCAGAAGGTGGCTTAGTCGCCTCCACCAAGAAAACACTGCATGCCTGGAGAAGCTCTCCTGCAGACGGAACGAGAGAGGAAGAGAGAGAGAGGCAGAGGAAAAGAGAGATACAGAGAGATAGAGATTCTATTCCGCTCTCAGCATCTCTCAGGTGAGTCACTGATAGACTTGCAGGGTCTCATGGCAGTGAAGTGCTTTAGAGGAACAGGCTCATGTTTTGCTCGGTCAGTGAATCAGAGAGATGACGAGTGAGATGGGAAACAGTATGGAGACAGGAACACTGAACAGTGTGATCGTGATCGTTACTGAACACGACAGCAACTAGGTCACCCTGCAGAGTGGAAAGTGGTGAGTACCAAACGACGTACCCTGCCTGCATCCTCCTGACTTGACAGGAAGACCTCCACTGGTATAGAATGTGTGTGTGTGTGTGTGTGTGTGTGTGTGTGTGTGTGTGTGTGTGTGTGTGTGTGTGTGTGTGTGTGTTGATATGGCGAGATGGTATCATGCAGTTCGGTGAAAGGAATGGCGACCAACTACCCAGGTAGAGAGAAGAGATGGAGAGGGTATGTATACTAGATCAAGTGAGATAGAGGAGATGAAACAGTGAGTGGGAAAGAAAACACTGTTCTTCCATGCCTCAACAGATCTTATCCTGGCTGCAGTGTGTGTTGTGTTGAGCTGGGCTTGGGGACTGTGTATCTTTGCTACAGAGCATTAATCAGAGCAGTACTGTTACTGTAGGCGGTAGGATGGACGTTAACTTTCTCTGTTTGTCAGCAGTGTGTTGTTGGTGACTCATTCAGGCTGAGTATTTGAGACTTATTTTCCCACACTAGCGCTTAGCGGGGGTCACGCTAGCTCCAGCCCCATTCATCCATCCGCTATCCCAGCTGGGCCACTTCACTCGACAACTGGAGCATACTCTAAACTCTGCTCTGTTAAAAAATACGCACCCTTACTCAACTTTTATTTTATTTTTTATACTCGATCTAGACGACCTTAATAGAATTGTTGGTTTCATTCCAGGACTATTTTTATTGCATAAAGGGAAAAAAGTTATCTGTTTCTGGCAGTCGAAATAAGGCCAATCCCTCCTTTTCGAGGGGAAGTAGTTAGTGTGGATACAGCCCAGCCCAGCAACCACTACAAAGGCACCAGAGTCCTAGATTTATGGCTCATTGCTCTGGTTCACTGGGCATAATGTCATGCCTAGAAATGGGATCACTTACATTCAATATTTACAATAGAGTAGGCACTTCTAAGTTGTAGACTCTTCTTGTGCACTTTTACTGGGTATGTATACTTATGTCTTGGTATAGTAAGTCTTCAGTGAGAGGTTAAGTTACTGACTGTTTAAACTTATTGAAACTTATTGAATGGCCTCAAATCCTCAGAGCTGAAAACAGGTTTGTCTTATGGATGTGTGCGTTGTCTGGTGTGTGCATTTCTCATGTACTCCAATGTGCTCCTATATGAAACTCCTACGTTATGCAGATGAACGCACACTCGTGTAGAAATAATGTATGTTGGGGCAGAGGCGTGTTTCACTGTTCATTGTTAGGTAACTTGTCAGAGGCTGTATGGATGTCGGTTGAAATGGCCTTACTGAAATGTGTTTTAGACCCACAGAAGCCATATCATTCGCTGTAGTATATGGAGCCTGAATTAACACCCATGGAAATGACTCTCCCGAAGTCCTCCAGCAAGAACGCCAGTCTGGAATGGAAAAGGGAGTCCTAAATCACCAGTAATTAGTCATTAGCAGGATTGGTCTGTAATAGTGGTTCTTTTGTCAAACACTAATGTAAAAACAAACACAATTAACCAGGATTTATTTGAACACAATTTCTGGGCAATGTGGCGTTAAGACTCGGCGTCCTAATTTCTGGAGCTTTGGGAACCTGTCCAAACAAGTTTCGCAGGCCAAACTCTCTCTTGTCTGTGTAACTTGTGAGAATTGCCACTGTCCCTGTCTAGCTGTGCCTGATTTGAAGGTACCCCCCCCCCCCCCCCTCCCCTAAATGTGCCTGAGGAGCAGTCTTTCCCTGTTATCTGCAACCCAGCCTGGGAGAGGGCAGTGTGATGGCCAGGACACCGCTGAACCCAGTCACATCACACAGGACACTGCTAAACCCAATCACAGACTATAACACCACACACACTGACCAGAAAGACTTGGCACAGAGAGCCATCTGGAGCAAACAGAGGCAGTGGACTAAATGAGGGAGAGGAAGAGGAATTACATGAGAGATGGAAAGAGAGTGGAAGAAGGGATTGATGGATCTCAAAGCACTATGAATACCTGTGCAGGCAGCAGATGCAGCCGTTTGGGGTAAAAGGGAATGGATTGTTGGGAAATAAAGAGGGAGGCGCGAGAGAGAGGTTAAGGCCAATGTTGCGTGGCCAAAGCCAGAAAATCTTGTGTACCCTCCAAGGACTGATGGTTTGGCACCCAGTAATTTCCTCAGGCCTCCCTCGCGCTTAATTACCCAGCTAATGAGCCCCTTTTATCTTCATCTGAGCCTGCTTAACCAGACACTTTGATACGGTTACATCATGGAAATTCAGCATTGGCCACTAAGACCTCTTCTTTCAGCTTAGACTTATTTGTGACTGGTACCTCCACGGATGCGTTTTATATTGTGCGATTAATACAAATGATGTGGGTTTGGAGAAAGGCTGTGTTGGCCTTAGCGGTTCTTAGAGGGGCTTAGCTCCAGACCTGCTGAGGGGGTTAGGGTTGGAACGCTTTGGACCTGGGCTGTGGAACAATCCACCAGTTATACTGCTGACCAACAGCCCACATGGTTCATATCACCGTTCTGCATAGTTTACTGCACCGCTGAAAAGATTCTCATACCGCTTTTGTTTTTAATACGACCACATTATGAAGTCCTTACTACATAGGGACGTATGTCTGTTAGGGCTGGTACCATCCCTAACCCCTACCCACATAGCTCTGCCAGAACGTTAATGAAACCCCTGATATCTGGGACTTGTGAGGCCAGATTCTCTGTTTAACAGATCTGTCTGACTTCTGCTACGGTGTAATATTACATTGTAAATATGACATCATATGATGAATATGAATGTAAAGCCCATATGTTATTGGTTATTGTAGGTTATTACAGTTTGTTCTTCTTTAGGCCGTGTAATTGAGTCTGAAGAAGCCTTTGGTAAAACATTAGTGTTGGTTCAGAGGCAGACTCACTATTGTTATGATTCGGATTGAATTAACTGGATGTTCCAGAGAGGGAGAACCATGGTAGCCATTGGGGATTTGATATGATTAATTGCATAAAGGGGACAAATTGAAATCATATTATTAGATTAGTGAAAGTAGTTTAATTTGTATTTAGTAAAGGCCCAGTGGCAATGGAAGTGTTGTGGCGTGAGGGAAGGGAAGAGAAGGGAAGCAGACAGGAGAGGGATACAGAGAGTGGGGGATGGATGTTATGTTACCATACGTGTTTTGATGCAATTTCCATATTGGGTCACCTATTTCTGGAGTGGGATCTGTGTGAGTGATTCCAGGTTCTAGTCTGTTACTGCTTAAGGGGAATGAGTAAACGGATCCTACAGTACGCACACACACACACACACAACATAATGCACATGCTCTATGAACCTTTACAGCGTCAGACACGTACCATCAACACACAGTAATTCATATAAGATTCCAGCTGTAGCGTTTGTCTATGCCCTGCTGAATCTTCCTCTCCCTCCCTCTCTCTGTGTCTTCTTCTCCAGGCAGGAACACTGGAATCCAAGGTCCAGTCGGAGATCTCATCACAAGGGGGAGGTAATGGTCACGGGGGCACCCGGGGCTCCCCCCATGGAGTCATTGTGACTGGAGACAGAGGAGAAGGTGGGGGAGGTGGAGGAGGAGGCGTGGGTTACCAGTATCCTTACACCACCCTCTGCAAACCTCCTCCAGATGCCAACATGGTGGACTGGGCCAGTAAGAACCTGAACCAGCACACTCAGGGCCTGTTCCGCCGCCGTGTATCCATCGCCAACATGCTCTCCTGGAACAGAGGCTCCATTAAGAAGCCCATGCTGATCACCAGCGACCGTGCCGTCAAGAAGGAGGCCTGTGAGATGTTCAAACTGGTCCAGGCCTACATGGGGGACCGTCCGGCCCGGCTGGAGCGCCGTCACGCTGCCCTGCTGGTGGTCACTAAGTGCTGGGGCATGCAGGGCCTGAGGGACGAGTTGTACATCCAGCTGGTCAGACAGACCACTGACAACCTGAGCCTGAGAAGCCTGGAGGCCGGCTGGGAACTCATGGCCATCAGCCTGGCCTTCTTCTCCCCCTCGCCCAAGTTCAGACGCTACCTGGAGGGTTACATCCAGAGACACCTGGAGCCCTCCAACGACAAGAAGAGTGAGTGGCAACTCTGCTTCTATTGATAAAATGCTTTTTTTTCTGTTTATATAAATCTATGAATGTTTTTCTGTGTTTACCATGGGTTGTGGGTGGTGAAGGTTGTTGTTTCCTGTAGCTGGTGGTTTTGGTGTTTTGGGGGTAAATACGATTTGTTTGATTAGACTAGGGTGCATCCAGAGGTGTGTTTATGTTTCCGGTATTCCCGTGTGGTCAAAAACAGCCAGTTGATATTGGTTTTCCAGCTATTATTATCTGGGATTCAGGCCAAATCAAACAGGATGCAGCACTGGAAAAGTGAGAAAAAGGAGGGGGAGTAAGGTCAAAGTTGAGAGAGCCCAGCACAAAACACCATCATCTGTTTTTCAGATCTAGACACTAAGAAGAGTTATTGCGATAAATCTTTAATCAAAGAACGTTTTCACTTGCTGTCTTCTTCGCCACTTACAGTCATGCAGCACATTATGGAACAACAGGACATGAAGAACAAGAAGAACTCAAAGTCCCGGAAGAAGAGGAAACAGAACAATGAGGAGGAAGAAGAGGAGGGTGAGTTTCACTACGGCAATTCATTCTCAAAATTGAGAGGGAGGATTAACCCCACAGTGTCACCCTCTTAGACCCGACACACTCACAGAAGAGATGAACGATGTCTCTTTCTATATGAGATTGATCATTGAAGGTAATGCACACATTTGCATCAGCACTACACTCTTTAAATGAGAGTAGCAGAACCACACAAAGGAGCCTTGAGATCCAAGAGCCAGGGTATCCTGTTTCCCTCTATGCTGTATCTCTGTGGCCCAGCTGAGCAGGTTGGCACACACACTGCCAGTCAGGGATTAGCAGGCAGATAGCCATGTTATATGGGGTGATCCTTCCTGGCCCTGTCTCCTCCTAACCCTCTGGCCTAAAGAACATTAGTGATGCTGTCTAGGCCATGGTTGAGGGTAGCTCTCTTTAGAGCAAGAGGAGACACCACCTACCTATAGAAAATACTAAATGTCCTCACATATAGCAGAAGTATAAGTAAACAGTAGCTGTTTGTTACAAAGTAGCTGTTGGGTGAGTGTGCTTCCTACCACAAACCACTGCTACTTTCATTGTGCCCATGTAATTGCTCTACAGCTAGGGGCATGCTCAGGATGGTCAGTCAGTGACATTCTCTGACTCACTCCAGCTCTCTGTGTGTCATGCCATTCGAGGCCGTTTGATTCTGCGGATTCATTTGACCAATCAGATGGCTCCTCACAGCTGCGTCCCAGCATCCTGGCTGGTCTCATGATGCAGCATTCTGCCCCGAGGCCAAACACATCGCGTCTCCCACACCAAGACCCAGCCTCAGACACCAGACCACATCATACAGTCATCCCCAGCACTGCTACCAGCTGTACTAGTACTGTGACAGAGAGAGTCGACTCACTGCACTACCTCATTAAAGAGACTATAGAGCATGGGAGAGGTGAGGAGAATTGAGATTGTTGTTGACTCACTCCCTGCACTGCAGTAGAAACCAGTTAGTCATATTCTACATCCGCTTTGAAGTGTTTGCATCGAGGACATAGGACCTACTGTCTGTGGGAGACTGTTTGTTTGTACTGGAGCGTTGGGCGATCCACACTCTTTTATAGATATGGGGCACTGGACAGATGATCCAGCTTCATGTGATCCAGACCCCAGTCTACGACAGAGGCCCCATGATATGGCTCGAGTCCAGGTAGGGATGAAGGGGGGAGGGGTTTGATGGGGATGGTCGTTGGAATGTCTTGAAGGGAGGGAGGGGGCATCTTTATGGGCCTCACCAGCTGCCTCTCTGGGCCCAGGCTGCTGAGTGGGCATTGTTCTGGGCAGCAGTTTGGGCCCTTAGGTCCAGCTCTTCATCAAAACAAGAGAAAGAGAGCGTAGAAGGTTTGTTTAGGTAGTGCCCGACCTCTCTGTGGTATGTTTAAGAGCGTGTGGCTGACAATGGGGCTGGACCAAAGGCCTCAGACAGGCTGGGGAGGCCTGGGCAGCCAGGCATTGCGGTGGCAGCAGTGGGCTGTCCTGGGAAAGAAACAGTGGGTCAGCCCAGTTAAGCTCCCAGTAAAAGGGGAGCGTGGGCCATAGGAGTGGGGTGGCTGGGGCCTCTTCTCCTCTCTGTGGAGGATTAAAGGTTGGCCGTTACACCACCACCTATTTGTATGCAAATACTCTCTTTATGTTTTCTCTATCTTTTTTTCTCTGGCCCTGGCTGTCCCTGTTTAGCGTTGGATCGGTGGATCCCATTGGACACTAAGCTGAGGCTCAGGCCACAGACACAAAAACAAACAGGCTGCTAGTGGAGAGTAATGAAGAGACCATTGCTCTTTTATGTCACCTGCTTTATAGATGCCCCCCATCCCCCACATCTATTTCTCCCTTTGTCTTTTAAGCATACAAACATTCACATTCATGGACACAGATTCATACACACACATCCATGTAGCCCCCGCTCTCTCTGTCTTCTTGTTGTACTATACAGGAATTACGCCCCCAGGTGGTGTAAAGCCAACACAGGACATTCTCTTTTAGAACTATGGGTCTTAACAGTGGTGTTCATACCAGCTAGCCCTCTACCCTGCCTGGGTTATCTGCCTCAGTAATATCACCTGACACAGAGGGGAAATCAGTCCACCGCTCCCACATGCTTGTCATTCCAACACTAACACAAGACAGGAGAAGGACGGAATGCTCAGGAAGAAGGAGAAAGGATGAGGAGTATGCCACAGCAACAATCAGAGGAAAGGAAAATACATTTAAGATTGGAAGGGGCAGAGGAGAGAAGTGAGGAGAGAACCCACTGGGCAAAAACTGGTTGAATCAAAGTTGTTTCCACGTCATTTCAACAAAAAAATTCAGTGTGATGACGTTGAATCAATATGGAAAATGTATTGGATTTGCAAGTCATCATCAATGTAAGGGAATTTTGTCTTTTTTTCACCCAACTATTTGCCTAAATCCAATGAGAGGGTGCATTTTTTTGTTGATTTCACGCTGAATTCACGTTAGCTGACAACTCAACCAAATGTCAATCAAAACTGTGCCCAGTGGGAAGTGAATAAAAGAGGATGAGAGGAGAAGAGAAGACGAGGGATCTGAAGAGAATAATGTAGGGAAGAATGAAAGGAACAGAGATTGTAGCAGGTGTGCCCAGCAGCAGTGGTCCTGAGCCAGAGCCATGGCAGTCCTCAGCAGCACAGGGCCTTGTGAAACAACTGCCCTGCCTCTTAAATGTGTTTTTACAGACAGATAAAAGAGAACTTCTCTTAAAACAACTCCTATACAACTTTCCTCTTCTCATTTTCTGTTACAAAGCACTCCATGCACTATGTTTGAACATCTTGACAACACTGTAAACATCTTGACGACACGGCTAGAAGAGGAGAAGTTAAAGGGTTTGTTCTGGACTGAGGTCATCAGGTTTGTCCTGTCTGACCCGTCACCTCTCTGACTATCCCTGTTGAGGCCTGCTTGGCCATGTGCCCTCACAGCTGTGCTCTGAGGTGAATGACCCAGTAGTATGAACTCTGGTGTCTGCTCTTCTAAAACGATACAGTGCTATAGTAACAGTAGGGCCTGGTCGGGCTGATGAAGGTTCGCCCTGGGTCATAGTATACCCATTTCTCCCCCTCTCCCAATTTGAGTCCCCGAACCTTTCCCCTTTCTTTTTCCATGAGGACCCTATGATATATTTGCACCCCTCTCTCTTTGTTGTTTCATGGAGCCGTGATTTAATTACTTTTCCTCAGCATTGAAATCCATCTCATTTCCGTCTTGGGTGAGGAGAAAGAACAAAGTCCCCCCCTCTGCCTCCTGAAATCAACACCATGTCAGTTCTGTGTGATTTTTACATTTACATTTTAGTCATTTAGCAGACGCTCTTATCCAGAGCGACTTACAGTTAGTGAATACATATATATATATTTGTGTCTTTTTTTTTTTTTTTTTTTTTTTTTTCTGCTGATTCATTCGATTTATGATAGAAGACAATAATCACAAAACCTTTTTGAAGCGTCATGTTCTCGTGGTCTCTCAAAACACATCTCAGCTACCGTCAGCCAAAACTGCTGCGGCTGTTTTGTTGCAGAGGACATGCTTTCACCTGTTTGCCATAAATATGTGTCATGTGAATGTTTCAATACCAGGGTCTGCAGCCAAGATGGATTTTGGTTCTCACAGTTAGGACAAAATGTTTAGGCCAATGCCTCAGTCGCTCATTCTATGCAGCCTTAATATTGTTATATGGGTCTGATATACAATAGTAGTATTTACAGTAAAGAAAATAGAAGCAATTGATGAACAAGTAAAAATGCAGTTTCAATAATTATAGTAGCAATAGTGCATTAATAACAGCAGCAGTGATAACTGTAATAGTAATACTTAGCACTAGTAATAGTTAAGCGTTCAGTGTTTGATGTTTTGGTGGCTTTAACCTTGAAGTACAGCTGCTCCCTACAGCCCTATAGGCTGGGTAATAGTACACCATGCTGGCCGTGCAGGATTTTCCTGGAATGTGCAGAGCTGAGATCCAAAAGGCCCTGCGGTGGACAAATTTGGTTTTGATGATTCATTGGTAACAAGATCTGTCGGTGGGGTTTTATCACCCCTTTGTGTTACTCCAAACTGTGTTACTCCAAACGCCAAACTCAAAATAAAACAGCCTCAACACTGAGGACGCTGACATGCAGGCAGATAGAAAACAGCAACAGATTGTATTACCGCCTCAGGATTGGTCAGTAATGGTGTCTGTCATCTCCCCTCTCTCCAGGCCTGCCAATCAGCACTTATGCCAAGTACTGCTACCGCAAGCTGCAGAAGGTCGCCGTGACTGGGGTCAAAAAGGTAAGAAGGTCATCCTAAAGCACTATTAAAAGGTCCAGGGAGGGGAGGTAAGGATGTCATACAAGGACAGAGGGAGTTGCTCCATCTCACTGCTTGACTGGATTGAGATTTAATTTCCAAACCTTCTGCTGCAGTTTTATACTCTAATGATCTGAAATGATATTGGGACTCCAACTCTCCCAGCAGACAAAGAGAAGTGGAACATTTCTATTGTTCTAATGAGTCAGTGTTGCCCCTGAGGTTAGTGTCGGCCGTGAAGCGTGGCACTGACTGAAGCATTCTGGGAGCTCTCACATATGTTAGCAATCATCGCACTGAGCCCTTAGGAGTCCTCAACAAAATAGGCACTAATCTGTAAACCCAAACTGAGGCGGGGGAGTTACGACAACCTTTTAGCCCCCCTCTGTCATCCGCTCTCTCCCCATCCACACTGGACACGTGGAGCTAAAGAGGGGGTTCAAATCTGAGCTCGCACCCCCCAACCAACCCTCCATCAGTGGAGCAACAGTCTCCCAACCTCCACCCTGTCCTCTGCTGTGTCCCACCCTGTAATCAGCTTGCCCACAGCCAGCCCACTGCAGCCTTACTGCAGCCCCAGGCCAGGCACTTTTACTGGGGGCTATATTTAACCCGCTGAGCTGCTGAGATGGAATCTGGGCTTTAAACATGGCTGGGTATCTCCTTCTACTGTATACAAGGGACCTAACCTACAGTTCAGCTGTGATTACAGTAGGGAAGTTACAGAAGTGTGAGAGACTCCAAGTGGGCCTCAAGTAGCTTACCTAGATAATTGGCAAGGGACAGCATTCAACCAGTTCTAAGCTTAATCAATAGACTTGTGGTTCTAGAGCTGTGCTTAGGGTCAGGTCCTGTCTTCAGAAGACTCTGTCTTTTTTCCTTCTCACAGGGTCTAAGGAAGCCCACCCTTGAGGAGTTAGACCAGGGGAGGAACGCCATCGTGACCCCCTCCCTGTTCGGCAGTGCCCTGGAGGAGATCATGGAGCGTCAGAGCGAGCGGTTCCCTGAGCGCAGGCTCCCCTGGGTGCAGGTGCAGCTGTCCCAGTACGTCCTGGCCCTGGGAGGGGCCCAGACAGAGGGAATCTTCAGGTGAGTAGTCACACAACCGCACCAGGCTGGGCTGCAGACAGAAGGGGTGGAATGATGGAGGGGGGGGGGCAATGTTGGTGGAAACTGATCAACTTAGGGTACCAGAAACGGTCTCTACAGATGAGGATCACTCTGAGGTATGGGGTAAGTAATGTTATGGGGGTAAAGAAAGACAGGCGTGCATCAGGAGAGTAAATACAGTATAGCCTATGTGGCAGACATGGGATGCAGAATAAGGGCCAGATTCAATCCGATCACGTTTTGTCTGCTATGCACGTTTTAAAGGCAATCTTCCCGCATTCAGGGTGACCGCATTCACGGTAAACGCTGCATATGTCGGCTCAATCGGAAATTACCTTTAAATGTCAATCAAGCTACATCGCAGATCTTCCGTGGTCCGGCTTGAATCTAGGCCTAAGACTGGGTCAGAGGCTTTGCTTCATCAGTAAGTAGCAGTACAGCCGGGGCTGCTCCTGTTCTGATTCTCCTGTCCCAGCCCAAGGCCAGCAGCATTACGGGACAGCCTCAAGCCACGATCACACCTACAGCGTAATTGTGCAAAATAGTACGCAGCATCATCTTGATATGTGTACAACAAAAGTTAAACATTCACCTTCTACTACCATTTCTGTCAAGCAGTCTACGCATACAATTTGATGCATACGTTCGATAAATCCAACATATGCAATTTGTAAGTCGCTAATTGATAAGAGCGTCTGCTAAATGACGAAAATGTAAAATGTAAAAATATGCGCCACACAGAACGCACTGCAACTGCCTCTGCAATGCAATGCTGCAAGGCAAACGCAGCGTTCCATTGGAAATGAATGTACTTCTGGTGTACCAAAACGCAATGACGCTGTCGGTGTGATCGAGGCGTCAGACTCCCATTGGCCGGGAGGGGAGGAAGTTAACCTGAGATCAGAAGAGAAAGCGCCTATGTTAAACACTTAAACAAACACAGCATCTCCTGAGGTGGTATACTAACTTTGATGACCATCCAGAAATAATTATTGACTTTCTAAACTTAGATATGTGTTTTTGGTTGTTGAGTCAATGAGACCATGCCCATTTCAAGCTCATCTTTCTAATTTTAGAACATATAGGCCAGTTGATCCTGCTTTGTAGTATACCCCTCAGGTCCTATGGGCTTTGTTAAACAAACACACCGTCTCGTTAACCTGGGGAGGTTAATCATTCACTGACTGGGCTGTGGAGAAGAGGAGAGGACTGCACCCCGTTCTCTCTGACTCAGACCCTCTCCTGGGGCATCCATATAGACGTCTGGAGCTCTGACGCCCCCCCCCCCCCCCCCCCGTCTGGCTCAGACTGAGACTGGGTGGTCATCCAGAGAGATGGTAGTTCAAACAAACATTAATATGTTTGACATTACCAAATTATACAAATTCAGACTAAATCCCACTCACACAACAAAGAATGAAAATCCACCAAATAAAGCTTTTGCCCTTGTCATGCTTCAGATAACAGCATCCGATAATGAAAGAGATTGTTTTATGCCTGTGTAATGTGAATGTAAATACAGTGGGTATAGTTCCCCTTTCTCTGCCATTCTGTTTGTATTGGAGTACATTTAGAGGCGTGTTTAATCTGCACACTATCTCTGTATAAATTCCTCTTTGGCTAAGTTCTCATCACACACTGACAGATTGTGGACTGTATATAGAACAAACAGGAGATTGACGTGAAAAAGTAATTATTTTAAGCCAGTTCCCTTTTTGTAACAGTTCTCATTTTGTCAGGCACATCTCCCTTCTGTCGGGTGTGTGATTAGAAAATGTACAGGAAATCTACCCTGGCAGTTTATTTTAAAAACCATGCTGTGGGAGGATTGTCTTTATTTTTGCTTTCTTATTGAGCTTCAGGGTTGATTTATTTTTACTAGACAGGGGTCCCTGTGTCAGGGATATGACTGGTGTTGTCCTTGTGGCTCTGTGATTTTGCTTAGGTTTTTCTCCTTGGCACGATCAGTCCCCTTGTAACAGATACCTCCGGACGTGTAGCACTGCTATGTATGTCCCTGTCTGCGGACATGAAATTACTTTCTCACTAATTATATCTGAGTGATATTGTATAACCATGTCCAGCTGGGTTCACATATCCCTCATGTGTGGACTAGACCCTGGCAATGTCCTAAAGTCATGCCGTGGTTGTCCCTGGGCTGCTTAACGGGGCTGCTGCACCACCTAGTGGGGCTATGTCACACTCCAAGAACACTATCAATACTCTCATACAAGTATTTAGTCTCATTGAAATAGGAGATAAAGTTATTACTTCCAAGTCTCTAGCGGCTGTTGAAACTCTATCTGCTGTGTGTCTCTTACCTTCAGGGTGCCTGGAGATATTGATGAGGTGAATGCACTGAAGCTGCAGGTGGATCAGTGGAATATTCCAGAAAACCTTGGCGACCCCAACGTCCCAGGTAAGAAAAAAATCCCTATCATTCCACAAAAAAAAATGCTCTATTCCTCCTCTTGGCTGATGTCTTTCTTGAATGGAGCAACTATCTATTGCCCTTTCTCTAAAACGTGTTGTAAAGGCTGGAAACACTACTGTATATTGTACAGGCTGCACACCATTGTGTATTGAAGGGAGTGTCTCTCTCTCCTCTAGCGTCTCTGCTGAAGCTGTGGTACAGGGAGCTGGAGGAGCCAGTCATCCCGCAAAGTTTCTATAAGCAGTGCATCAGTAACTATGAGGATCCAGAGGCAGCGATTAGCGTGGTGCAGTCTCTGCCTGAGCTCAGCAGGCTGGTGCTCTGCTACTTCATACACTTCTTACAGGTAGCCCTCCTACATATAGGCCTCTCGTCTACCCTCGCTAACTCTCTCTCTCTTTACAGGTTTATTTGTCACTTTGTCTGTTTTGTTGTTATAACTACACTACCAGTCAAAAGTTTGGACACACCTACTCATTCAAGGGTTTTTCTTTATTTTTACTATTTTTTACATTGTAGAATAATAGTGAAGACATCAAAACTATGAAATAACACATATGGAATCATGTAGTAACCAAAAAAGTGTTAAACAAAAGAAAATATATTTTAGATTTTAGATTCTTCAAAGTCGCCACCCTTTGCCTTGATGACAGCTTTGCACACTCTTGGCATTCGCTCAACCAGCTTCACCTGGAATGCTTTTCCAACAGTCTTGAAGCAGTTCCCACATATGCTGAGCACTTGTTGGCTGCTTTTCCTTCACTCTGCGGTCTAACTAATCCCAAACCATCTCAATTGGGTTGAGGTCGGGTGATTGTGGAGGCCAGGTCATCTGATGCAGCACTCCATCACTCTCCTGCTTGGTCAAATAGCCCTTACACAGCCTGGAGGTGTGTTGGGTCATTGTCCTGTTGAAAAACAAATGATAGTCCCACTAATCGCAAACCAGATGGGATGGCGTGTCGCTGCAGAATGCTGTGGTAGCCATGCTGGTTAAGTGTGCCTTGAATTCTAAATCAATCACAGACAGTGTCACCAGCAAAGCACCTCTACACCTCCTCCTCTATGCTTTAAAGTGGGAAATACACATGCGGAGATCATCCGTTCACCACACCTCGTCTCACAAAGACACAGTGGTTGGAACCAAAAATCTCAAATTTGGACAAATTTCCACCGGTCTAATGTCCATTGCTTGTGTTTCTTGGCCCAAGCAGGTCTCTTCTTCTTATTGCTGTCCTTTAATAGTGGTTTCTTTGCAGCAATTCGTCCATGAAGGCTTGATTCACACAGTCCCCTCTGAACAGTTGATGTTGAGATGTGTCTGTTACTTGAACTCTGTGAAGCATTTATTTGGGCTGCAATTTCTGAGGCTGGTAACTCTAATTAACATCCTCTGCAGCAGAGGTAACTCTGGGTCTTCCATTCCTGTCGCGGTCCTCATGAGAGCCAGTTTCATCATAGCGCTTGATGGTTTTTGCGACTGCACTTGAAGAAACTTTCAAAGTTCTTGAAAGTGTCCATATTGACAGACCTTCATGTCTTAAAGTAAAGATGGACTGTCGTTTCTCTTTGCTTATTTGAGCTGTTCTTGCCATAATATGGACTTGGTCTTTTTCCAAATAGGGCTATCTTCTGTATACCCCCCCCTAACTTGTCACAACACAACTGATTGGTTCAAACGCATTAAGAAGGAAAGAAATTCCACAAATTAACTTTTAACAAGGCACACCTGTTAATTGAAATGCATTCCAGGTGGCTACCTCATGAAGCTGGTTGAGAGAATGCCAAGAGTGTGCAAAGCTGTCATCAAGGCAAAGGGTGGCTATTTGAAGAATCTTGTTTAACACGCTTTTGGTTACTACATGATTCCATATGTGTTATTTCATCGTTTTGATGTCTTCACAATGTAGAAAATAGTAAAAAATAAAGAAAAACCCTGGAATGAGTAGGTGTGTCTAAACTTTTGACTGGTACTGTACATAATAACTACAGGTTTATTAATATAAACACAATTAACAAACACCACATAAATGTCGCTGAGCTTCACTTTTGCCCTAAACTCATCCCCTCGCTCTCCTGCAGGTGTTTGCCCAGCCCGTCAATGTGAGTAAGACCAAGATGGACGTGAACAACCTAGCCATGGTGATGGCTCCCAACTGTCTCCGCTGCCAGTCGGATGACCCACGCATCATCTTTGAGAACACACGGAAAGAGATGTCCTTCTTACGCATGCTCATTGTTCACCTGGACACCAGCTTCGTCAAGGGCATCATCTGAGGAGGCTCCCTCTAGACCATTCTATCCATCAAAACCAATCCTCCATGCCCTGGAAAGCTGCACTCGTCAACTATAGCTGCTTCCTCTTTCAATCATACCAGTCTCTACTGCCACCTCACCCACAACAAGCCCTCTGTTCCTTCACACATCTCACATCTCAACCCTAGATTCTCTCTGGTTCACTAACACCACATTCTGAGGACTACAGACAGTGGACTGCCCAGACAGTGACTGGATATCAAGACAGTTTTCCTGCTCTGAATCATCTTGTTTGAGACTTTGGGACAAGCTCACATGTGATGGTAATGGGAGACTGTTCATCCGTTTGAAAGCACACTGCAGGACATACTGTACTTACTATATGTACAGTGAGGGAAAAAAGTATTTGATCCCCTGCTGATTTTGTACGTTTGCCCACTGACAAAGAAATGATCAGTCTATAATTTTAATGGTAGGTTTATTTGAACAGTGAGGGACAGAATAACAACAAAAAAATCCAGAAAAACGCATGTCAAAAATGTTATAAATTGATTAGCATTTTAATGAGGGAAATAAGTATTTGACCCCCTCTCAATCAGAAAGATTTCTGTCTCCCAGGTGTCTTTTATACAGGTAACGAGCTGAGATTAGGAGCACACTCTTAAAGGGAGTGCTCCTAATCTCAGTTTGTTACCTGTATAAAAGACACCTGTCCACAGAAGCAATCAATCAATCAGATTCCAAACTCTCCACCATGGCCAAGACCAAAGAGCTCTCCAAGGATGTCAGGGACAAGATTGTAGACCTACACAAGGCTGGAATGGGCTACAAGACCATCGCCAAGCAGTTTAGTGAGAAGGTGACAACAGTTGGTGCGATTATTCGCAAATGGAAGAAACACAAAAGAACTGTCAATCTCCCTCGGCCTGGGGCTCCATGCAAGATCTCACCTCGTGGAGTTGCAATGATCATGAGAACGGTGAGGAATCAGCCCAGAACTACACGGGAGGATCTTGTCAATGATCTCAAGGCAGCTGGGACCATAGTCACCAAGAAAACAATTGGTAACACACTACGCCGTGAAGGACTGAAATCCTGCAGCGCCTGCAAGGTCCCCCTGCGCAAGAAAGCACATATACAGGCCCGTCTGAAGTTTGCCAATGAACATCTGAATGATTCAGAGGAGAACTGGGTGAGTGTGTTGTGGTTAGATGAGACCAAAATCGAGCTCTTTGGCATCAACTCAACTCGCCGTGTTTGGAGGAGGAATGCTGCCTATGACCCCAAGAACATCATCCCCACCGTCAAACATGGAGGTGGAAACATTATGCTTTGGGGGTGTTTTTCTGCTAAGGGGACATGACAACTTCACCGCATAAAAGGGACGATGGACGGGGCCATGTACCGTCAAATCTTGGGTGAGAACCTCCTTCCCTCAGCCAGGGCATTGAAAATGGGTCGTGGATGGGTATTCCAGCATGACAATGACCCAAAACACACAGCCAAGGCAACAAAGGAGTGGCTCAAGAAGAAGCACATTAAGGTCCTGGAGTGGCCTAGCCAGTCTCCAGACCTTAATCCCATAGAAAGTCTGTGGAGGGAGCTGAAGGTTTGAGTTGCCAAACGTCAGGCTCGAAATCTTAATGACTTGGAGAAGATCTGCAAAGAGGAGTGGGACAAAATCCCTCCTGAGATGTGTGCAAACCTGGTGGACAACTACAAGAAACGTCTGACCTCTGTGATTGCCAACAAGGGTTTTGCCACCAAGTACTAAATCATGTTTTGCAGAGGGGTCAAATACTTATTTCCTTCATTAAAATGCAAATCAATTTATAATATTTATGACATGCGTTTTTCTGGATTTTGTTGTTGTTATTCTGTCTCTCACTGTTCAAATAAACCTTCTATAAAAATTATAGACTGATCAAGTCTTTGTCAGTGGGCAAACATACAAAATCAGCAGGGGATCAAATACTTTTTTCCCTCACTGTATCTCCCTGTGTTTCTGCTCCAAACACTGGACCGTGCTGGCGTGAGATTCAGCATATGAAGAGCAATCACAATAGTAGACTATTATACACATTAAGCCAGAGTGCAGGGAAAAATCAAGACAAATCTAATATGTAAATATGTGTTTTTAAAGGATTAGTTCCTGCTTTGAGTGCCACATACATATCTGACGCTATGGTCGTGAATTATGTCTCGTCATGTGTTCTGACATGACAAAATTATGGGAAACCCACTCTGTATTATAACCATTCTCTTTCCTTTATTGTAACAGTGTATGCAAGCAATGATTTCCTTCTCATTCTAAGTTAATTTGGAATGCTTTTTTGACTAATTTAATATTAATTCTGTCTGGGTTGCCAGAGCTGCAGGATAGGTTGACAAAAAGGTTTAAGCTACTCCGGACCTCTCCACTGGCCTCAGAGACAGGTTCACTCTCTAGGTAAAAAAATAAATAAACAAATTCTGAACAAAAGTTTCTCCAACATGAAAACTGATGCCCAATCAGTAAGGCAGAAATGTGTGTACATGTGTGAGAGATACATTATTGGACTAAAATCATGAGAAGCATTTTTGGAGCACTTTCAGCTGTTTTACTCCAGACAATTACAGTGGGCTTATTTTGGAGAGAGCGGGGTTCAATGTGGAAACTTTTTTCCGCTCACTTCAGAGAAACACAATTATACCTTTGATGGAGCTTGTAAAAAAGCAAATTTTAGCTATTAGCAGGTCAGGGGAAAAGAATGCAGGAGAAAATGAGAGCGCTGTCGCTGCCTGTACCTAAAGCCTCACCCACACAAACAGTTGTGAATTTACAGTGCGAGCCATAGGGAGGGGCCATCTGGCAGTGGTTTGAGGGTCTGGGGTACATTAGTTTAGTGCCATAGACTGGGAGGAAAACCATTAAGACAAAACACAAGCTGATTTAGTATTTTTAGACAGTATTGCCTAACAAGGACTTTCCTATTCCTCTAAATCTCGTGCCTCATGAGGGGAAGAGGGTTTAAAATCCATATTTCAGCTGTCTTAAGGGCCACGCTGTCGCTGTTATATTTAGCAGTGTGGTCGGGGTTTGGGTTTTAGCGTCCCACATGTTTTCTCTGTGTCTACCTCATCTTAGTGATGGGGTCTGTGCTGCGAGGCTGTGTGTGTGTGTGTGTGTGTGTGTGTGTGTGTGTGTGTGTGTGTGTTGTGTTTGTGTGTATGTAAGTTCTTGCACATCAGTGTGGGTGTTTGTGTGTCGACTGTAAATGCATGTGTGGTCCAATTTGTAAGTCGCTCTGGATAAGAGCGTCTGCTAAATGACGTAAATGTAAATGTAAATGGTATGAGAGATAGAGAAGCTTGTGTGTGTTCATACAGCACACTCTCCCTAATTCCTGGAAGCTGGAGCCCCTAAATTAGAGGGTATGTTTACCAAGAAAAATGTATCTGGAGGTTAGATGGTTGTTAACCCCTTTTCTGCAGTCACAGCTTTTACAGCGGCCGTGCCTCTGTGCCTCCATTTCTGCTTTACTGTTCATCTTTTGAAAACCCAAACCCCCAGAGTTGGGTACTCCATAGCCACATCAGAGGATATACCCAGCTTTCCCCTCACCTCCAGCCAGCAGGGGCAGTGCTGAGGTGGGCAGGGTGGAGGATGGCAGTGCACAGTGCCAGTAGTTCTGGGAGTGCATCAGGGATATATGCTGAGCATGCAGAACAAGGAGGAAGATTTCATGGACTGAGCCCATACTCTTACACACTGAACTCCCAAGGCTCTGGTTTAACTAGTCTCCATCCTGTGCTCTTCTGTGGATGACGGATGTACATATACAGTTTGATATGTTAATAGCAGGATGGTCTTTGATCACTGAATGTTCAAACCAATTAGTTATAACATGATTCAACCATATTGTTAAAAAAATATCAACTGATGTTCCATTCTACAGTAATGACATTATTCTCTTTATTTGACTACAATGCTCGTGGTGCAACTCATCAGTGTAATTTCTTGATTTGATAAATAGTCTAATCTTTGACAATCCTTTTTTTGTACTTGGAATGAGTGTTGATAATGTTTGTTGAGATGATAGAATAACTTAGGTGTGTGATGTTTACACTGTGTGTGATTCCAGTTACAACATGTGTGCACCCCATCCATTGCACTTCTAGTTCTATTCCCCTGTCCTCACATGATGGATGCTATTGACTATTGTTGTAAATATGCTTGCAGGTCTTTTGGGTATGCTGTTCGGAAAACAAGAAAAACAGCAATGGTGATTGTGATTTTGCGGATGCATTTATTTCATAAATGATTGAAAAAATAAAATAGACAATTAAAACATTTGTTGCTTTTTTTCTGATCACTTTTGTTTAATTTTGCATGGATATGAGTCTTTAACTATAACTTTTGTGAAAGTCTCCCATTGACATCAATATGCATTTCACGGTTTAAGTTTTTTGTGACCAACAGAAACATTGAGTAGATGGCTAGAGGCCAGCGCTTACGCTAGATTTGGTTCTGGGTGCAATTAGATCCATGTGTTATGGTAGAATTATGTCTTTCACTGCACCCAATACACCTGGACACTGCCACATCTGAACGTATATGGTCCATAAGCAGTAAACCTTAACACAACCCCAACAGAGCCATGTTAACTCTGTGTTAAAACACACATACAAACCTCTGGACAGCTGTAAGCAGGAGGCCAAGTAGAGCGCGATAAGCAGACCTGTAATTTAGGCTCAGCTGTATTTTCTGTGACAATGAAAGACTTCACTTGACTCTCTTATGGGGATGAATGACTAGGCTGAAATAGGAAAAAATATGTACCTATCAATTTTGAGATTTGTTGGTATTTTGGTCCATTAACATTAGTATTTTCAAAAGGTAACATAAAAATGTAAAAAAAAGTTACGGAAATTCATATATTTTTTTGTTTATCAAATAAAATAAAATGTTATTGGTCACATACACATATTTAGCAGATGTTATTGCGGGTTTAGCGAAATGATTGTGTTCCTAGCTCCAA